TCGGTTTGTTACTGGTGTTTTGTTTTGTTTTTTAAGCGAAAATGCCGGTTGTTGATTTCCACCTCCAGAAATTACCGGCCGCCGTCTCTGAGCCCTTTCTAGACAAATCCCACAGCAGTTCACCCGGCTCCGCCAAAACCGCGGAGCTTTTCTTTACTGAGAAGACCCCTTGGTTCCACCAATTCCCCCAAATCCCTATGGCTCCCGATCTCTCATCTAGGGGAACTAGAAGAAAAGATTTTTCTCAGCGCTAGAAGAATACTTGGAGCAGCAAAGGTGCCCGTGGTGCCTTTCTACTGTTCAAGGGGGTGTCCTCCTGAAGGCGTCTAAGAGGGCCTCTGGCGGTTCCAAGGCTGTGCAGCCAGGGAGGAAGGTGAGGAATATCGTGGGTAAGAAGAGGCATCAAAATCACAGAATAGGGAGGAATATTATTGAGGAAATGTACTTGCTTGTGAGGGTGAAGCTGGCATTTTGAGGTAGAAGGGAACCAGCCTTTTTTTATATCTCATAGTTTATACATAATGGACTGACTTTAGCACTTTCATGGGAGGAAAAACCAATCTGAGCTCTATAAATGTGGCTCTTGGCTTCTCACTGTGCATGCTTTTATATAGAACCAGAGTCCATCCTTAGATATTTATTCAGCTTGCTGGCACTGAAGCAACAATAAAAAGATGCCTCTAACAGACCTCTATTCTCTCATTCTTTCTAGCAAAACTATATTATTTATGAGTCTTTAACTGGGTCAAAAATGCGCCAGAACTAGGTCATAAATCATATGAAATGCTGACAAGTAATTGAACAGCAATTAAAGCTTACATTTTATTTCCAAGGGGTGTTTTAGAGCACTTGAAAGGGCCTCAGTTAAACATGGTTACTGCTGAGGCCGGCATTGGGGAGAGCAGAAGGGCCCTTTCGTTCTGGGGTAGTAAATCCCACTCAAGTAGGGGATGCCTGATTTGATTTTTTTTTTTTCAAGTACAGAAAGAAATAATCTGTATTTTAAGAAGTCAAAGGGGCAAATCCAACCTCTGACTCCTTATAAGCATCCCTTTCCCTACTCCAAGGAGCAGAATAAAGTAGAGTTTCCTGCACTTTCCAGGGGGTTTCCACCCTTCCCAGGAGTGTGGGGTCCCCAAAGCTCAATTAGCTGGGGTATTCCCAATAATCTGGAAACATGCACTTTAACTTTCATCTGCCTCCACCCTGGCTACAGCTCTGTTTTGGGGGCTATGAAGTGGAGAGATGTCTGCCTCTGCTTCCTGAGGATTCTTGTCTCTGGACTTCCCTCCAACCCAGGCCCCACTGGCCAGTTCTGGAACTCTCCAAGCCAGCTGGGGGTATACAAGGAATGCCCAGATCAGGCACACTGATGAAGTCCAAACCTAATCCTGGCTCCCTCCTTCCTCTGTCTCCTGAATGTTAGAATAAGGAGCCCCTGGGCATCCAGCATGCTCACCCCACCCCAAGGCTCTCCTAGGTCTGAGCTGTCTTTCTTCAGCCCTCTGGGGCAGAGGGTGCTCAGGGAAACAATGGCGGGCCCTCCAGTTCAGATCCTTGGGTCCGGCTTGTGGGGAAGCATGCTCTGCAATCTGGCACTAAACAAAGTGCCTGGAAGCATCATCAATAAAATGGCAGCGCATCTGCACATTTCCCTCATCGATTTCCCTCTTCCAGCTGCTCAGGCTGCTCAGGTCAGCCCTAACCCTCCATCCCCTGCCTGAAAACACCACCATCGGGGAGAGATTCCTCTTCTCACCCACCCATCCCCCATGCCTCCCAGGCAGTCTAGTCCTGCAAGCCGGTCCACCTCAGCCTGCACCTGGCTTCGGTACCCTCTTTCTGCCTGGGGATCAGCTCCTGAGACTCCAGCCGTGCCCTGCTACAATGGACAAAGCCACCCTTGCACTGGGGGCCATTGGGCCCACCTAGGTGCCCCCCTAGTGCCCCCTCCTTTACACCCCCAACACTTTCCAGGGAATTAAACTCAGAGTCTGAGGCGCTACTGGGAATCTTTCATATGGTTTCGGTTCTAAAAGAGAAACAAAGGAAGAGAGAGGCTGAGGGTCCTGTCCATGAGCCAGGGTCTCCTCGCCTGACCTTTGTCTCTCACAGCCATAACTCACTCTAGATATGAACAATCAGCGGAAATACCTTAAAATAAATTCCATCCTCCTGGTATGGCCTCGACTTCCATCGGCTAACTCGCCCAGAACCGCTCCATGAGTGCTGAAAACTGCAATCGGCTCAGAGAGCGCTCTCCGCTCTCCGGAGAAGGGAAAGAAGAAGGAGGAGGTGGGTTCGTGGGGGTTGGGGGAAAGCTCTGGCTCTGTAGAGAATCTAGAAAACGTAATCACAGGCGAAGCCTGCCTGGGTCTCCGCTCCAAATGCCACAATAATGCGCTGCATTATGTGCTCACGTGGTCATACGTCAACTTAAATCCTTTTATTTGAAATATGGAACCACTGAAGGAACTAGGTTGCCAAACAGAATATTTAGCTTTGGGGGAGGGTAGGTGGGGAACCTTGACCAGCAGTTTTGAGTTTAAGAGTTCTGTCTAAGCAATAGGATGCTGGGAGCCATCTCCCCATGAATGCCATGCAAGACATACAAGCTTATCTCCACTTACATTTCTTTACACACATTCCAAATACAAGGGTACAGCAATGCTATTCACATTTTTAAAATCCTTTTAACTTTCCTTACAGCCTCCCACCCACGGACAAGCTGGATCCTGCACACCCATGCACCCCAGTCTCCTCTGGCCGGCAGGCCAGTATATCAAAAGGCAAGGGGCAGGCCCAGAAATAACTGACCTAGACAGCGGACTTCCTCACAGCCTGCCATTGTATGGAATTTGCTAACACACACACCATACACCACAGCCACTAGAGAAACCAAAAAGGACCATAATTACCTGACAAAAGGTTAAAGCATCTCCTCTAAGTCCAGTTGGTTTTGTTCAGTGGGAGCCCACTAGGAAAGATGTGCTTGGCTATAGAGTGGTGGGTCTGGGTTTTGCAAAATCTAGAGAAACCTAGTGCCCTGACCAAACTTGCACTTAAGCATTTCTTCAGTACACAGCTGAGTGATACATGGAATTATAGGTTTCTAAATATGAAAAATATCAGAGGAAATGATCTAATTGCTCTGCAAGAGACCCTCCCTCCACCCCCCAAAAAAAAGAAAATAAAAGGAAAAGAAAGAATCAACCTTCACTGGAGTGCCTTAAGTTAACAAGGCAAGGCAATCTGGGACCTCTCCACAGGCAGGTCTGTCCACCCACTTTTCCAAGACAATTCTGTGTCCACCAGCAAATTCTACCCCCATCCCCACACAAGTTCCTATAGAGACATAAACTCAAAGATAAGAAAGAGCCCCCTTCAGAACTCTCAAAATAATCTTGAGCAGAAAACCAGTAGAGAACCAACTGTGCTCAGGAAGAACCTAACTGAAACAAATAAGCTGCTCCCACCCCTGATTCCACCCCTACTCCTGCCTTCTGCCTGGTGACATTGCTCACTAATTTCAACACTGTACCCTTTCATGAGCCGTCTAAAAATCTTCTCTTTTCTGGTCTTAGTTTCTGAATTTCTGAGAATGCTCTGAGGCTAGTGAGATCCTCAGGCCATATTCTTTTGTTCCTGGAGAATGGGTCTTCAGCTGGCTGTGCCTAAGTGTGAGGACTCACTTACAGCAGCTGCAGGAGGCTGTGCATGATGTGATTCCTCCCCTTCACTCCTCCCCTGCAGAGGAACAGAAGGGGTCTGATGAAAATGCAAGGTCCTTAATAAGAGAACCTGGTCATGGGTTGTCCAAATCAGAAGGGCAATAAAAGAAGAGACCTAATCCCTTGGAAGCAAGTCCTGGCCTAAGCTGGTGACAGTATTTCAGTAAGGTTCAATCTGTGGTATAGCTGGAAGAGAACCTCCATGTGAACTTTTCCAGCTCTTATCTAAGTTACAAGCTGGAAAGTAAGAACTCCAAGTGAAAACCTGCCTCTCTCAGGTTTGGGGGATAGAGGACAGGACTAAGAGCTGGTTTCCAAAAAGCATTCTCCTGTCCCCCAAAAACTCACTCCTCTCTTTCTTACTGCTGCCTCCCTCATACCCCTCACCAATCATTCACATTGAGCTCTCCAGATACCCTAGAAAGGGACCTGGAGGTATTACTGGCAAATTCCTCCCCACCCCCAAGTTTCTGAGGAGGCATCAACTCAAAGATGAGAAGGGGCCCCCTTAAAAACTCTCAGAACAGTCAAGCAAATGAAAACTCTTAAAGCCATAAATTGGCTGGGTACGGTAGCTCATGCCTGTAATCCCAGCACTTTGGGAGACCGAGGTAGGTGGATCACGAGGTCAGGAGTTTGAGACCAGCCTGAACATGGTGCAACCCCCGTCTGTACTAAAAATACGAAAATTAGCCAGGCATGGTGGTACATGCCTGTAATCCCAGCTAGCCGGGAGGATGAGGCAGGAAAATCACTTGAAACCAGAAGACGGAGGTGGCAGTGAGCTGAGATCACACCACTGCACTCCAGCCTGGGACAGAGCGAGACTCTGTCAAAAAAAAAAAAAAAAAAAAAGCAAAGCCATAAATCAATGAGAGAAGTCATTGGTACTGCTTCAGAGAAATGCCTTAACGCCAGCAAAGCTCAGAGGCATCTCAGCTCCAGCCTGGGGCCTCCACAGGGCTGCTAACATCCCAGTTAATGCTCCAACTGCTGTTTAACAATTAACATTAACGACTTAGGGTGGGATGGGGTGATTTGGTGGGATGAGAAGGGAAAAAATCTGCGAAGTCAAAAGACATTTAGCTTTTGAGGTTAAAAAAAAAAAAAAAAAAAAAAAAAAAAAAAGCAGCTTCTCTATGACAGATCTTGGCCTGGGCAGCCTATCTGGGGAACCAGCAGCTGAGAGTTCTCCTTTGCCACTCTGCAATCCACTTTCCTGGAGCAAAGCTACAGGCCTTTTAAAAACCCAGCTGCCAGCCCCTCTTCACTCACTTCACCGGCCTCCAACTTGGCCTGAGCTGGGACTCATGCTGTGGTCCTGGTCACCAGAGCCAAAATAGGGGGAAAGTTGGCTTGGAAAAAGCAGGCAACCAAGGATACAGACCGTTAGTCAATATTTGCAAGGCTGTTGGCAGATTAGATATATCTGTACTCAAACACTGTAATCTGATTTCTCTGTCAAAAGTACACTTAACATTTTTGTCCCATTACTTAAATCTAGTGGATTTTCTACTCAGCATCAGGTAAGGCTCTCTTAGCCCACTGTGTGTGTGTGTGTGTGTGTGTGTGTGTGTGTGTGTGTGTGTGTGTGTGCATGATAGATTCTTATTTAACATGAGATTTTTCCTATGGGTGCAAGGGTAGTACAAATGGGCCAAGTTCTCTGGACACGTGTGGATGTGTATATTGTGTTTACATAAGGCCCCAAACTCCTGCAACTATTTATACATGCAATTGTTCTGTTGTTTGCTGAGATGGAAATCATATACACAGAGTTACAAATTCCTGAAACGTTCCATCTATATTTGATATAAACAGACATACAGTAGCTGAGAAAGTAACCCAGGTTGACTATTGCTCTGTTTACCTTCTATTGGAAAAAATAATTGTATCCAGAACACCATATCAGCCTTAAAGCGCCACTGAATATCATGTTGCAATTAATTAACAACCTGATATCTATTTGGGAGCAAATTTAAGGGAAGACTGAGGCCAGGGAATAGAATACAAAATCTCAAAACTTTTTAAAAAGAAGTAATTACTGAAAGAACAAAGCAAACCCATTCCTTCATACCACGCTTTTGAAAGCTATTCCAGCAGCCCCTCCCCCAAACAGGCAAGTAATTTATGGATCTTTTACAAGGTAATAAACCACAGTAATTGCCTCCCTGCATCCCAAACTAAGACGACAAATTAAGTCAGAACTTGAAAATAACTTAAAAGAGTTTTCCCTTGTTTCGAATAGGAAAAGAAAATGCCAAGACAGAAAACCATGCTCTTCCCGTAGGAAGAACCCATGATGAGCCCCGATGAAAGAGGGGAGAAGACCCTTCGCTGTCTGCGAAGTCCTAAAGGTTAGAAATACAGCAATCTTTCTCATGCCGAAGGAAAGGCAAAAGGATCTAAGGAACTGCAAGGCAGTGATACAAGTTTTCCTTAACAGCGGGACTGGGACTGTCGACAATTTCTTAACTCACAGCCTCCTCAGTCGCCTCGGTCGACAAGGAAAGCAGCCCACGCAGCGGCCGCCGCGCCCGTGCCCGTGGCCTTTACTTGCTTTTGCCCTGAAGTTCAGTGTGGTGGTTTGGGGCTTGCAGGAAGAAATAAGCACACCCCCTCTGACTCTCCACAACCCATCTTTGCCTTCCGCAACCGCTTCTCCTGACCATCGCTGGCTTTGGGGTAGGCTCTTTGTCTGCCTGACGCCCCGCATTCGCAGGGCAAGAAGCTTAAAGGAATCCAATTCCAAACTGCTCTGAAGTTAAATATTGACCAGAAACTCTTTCAACAGGCCGCGGTTGCCAGGAACCGTGGAGGGCCAACTCCTCCCAACCGCCCTGGTGCAAAGTCCCACGGGGCAAAGAGTTTTGGAGCAGCGCTTACCTAGAAAGATGTTTAAATCTGAACCACAAATTGTCTCCAACTCCAGGCGCTCAGGGAATCGCCTTTTCCGGTGTCCAGGCGCTCTGCAGACAAATAAACAGCAGAAGGTGAATGGCGGCTGTGAGGGAAGGGAGTTGGAGGCCGGGAGTGGGAAGCGCGGCTCCTGTGGGCGCCAAGGTGGCCCTGGAGGTGACGCGAACACCAAGGAGTCGCCAGGGCACTCGTCCATGCGGCGCACTCATTGCTCGAAATGTTCCAGTCTACAAATGGCCCGAAGATGGTGATTTATTTTTGTAAAATAAATACATACTCCATTTCCACACCCATACTTTCTCCTTTTTCTTTCTTTTTTTGGGGGGAGGGGGGTGCGGGGGGTGGAATGGGGAAGGAAAGAAAATGAAGTAGAGGAAGCTGAGAGGGTGGAAGTGGCTTTGCCGGTGGTGTGGACTGCTCTCAGAGAGCTCTCTCCTCAGGCACCCCAACTTGGAGAATGTGAATGCTCGCTTGATTTTCCTTTCCTAACAAAAGGAAGCCTTGTCTGGGAGCATTCAATCACGGACTCTCCTGAAACCTCACTAACAGTGTTCATTTCTGTTGGCGCGAAATCAGATCCGAACTCAGTCCACTGGCCAGAGGCAGTCTTGGGAGGTTTTGTCTTCTGGTTTATTCAACTCTAGGTGCGTTCCTTCTAGGTCCTAGTGGGCTGGCGGGGCTACCGCAGCACCTAGTCCCTCAGAGCAGGCCAGCTAAGACTGCTGGAAACTGGGAGGGACGCCGGCTGGTACAATACCTGCTCAGGGGCCCTGCTCCTGCCTGGCCTTGCGCAGCGGCCACAGGCCGATTTGATGCCTTGATTCTGCTCAAATCTCGTCCCTCACAATGTTTGCAACCCTCTCTTGCCCTCTAACCAACAAATGGTCACCGAGCCAGCAGTCAGCTTTCTGGGAGTGGGAGACGCTGGGAAAGGGGCAAAGAATCGTCCACTCGCCGGACCCTGGCTTGGAGAAGTTCTGCGCTCCGCTGGGACTCTGCGGGCCCTTTGCGTCTACAGACCTATCCCTGCCCCCACTACCCCTTCACTCAGACCCAGGTAACCTCTTACCCCAGCCTGCCCCAAACCAGCCCTCCGCTGTGTGTCTGCCTTCATGCAATTCTGTAGATAGTACTAAGAGGGGCTATCAAATAGCCGAGGAGTCTCCTGACCCCTGGCTTCGGAGCCCCCCCCCGAGCACGTTGAACAAGTGGCCGCACATCAGCAGCTGCGCTCTGCCACCATTCGACCCGCAGCCCCCACAAAGCAAAGGAAAAGGACTTAAGATCCACGCTGCGCCCCCTTTCTCTTGTTCAAACTTGCTTTCTGTGTCCCCAAAGGCAGTGCCCACTGGTCTTGGGGATCCTGGCATGACCGTGAGCAAGGTGGACTCAGCCATCCCGCACTTTGCCTCTCAATTTCACCCGATAAAGATCCGCTATGCCTCCATCCAGCACTCCCCTGCGTGACACTTAGGAGTATGTAATTATTATGGCTATTATTATTTTTGCTGTTTCCTTATCCCCAAGTCTAATATTCATGGCTGCTGTCCCCCATAAATCGTTCAGACTAATGAGTCACAGAGAGATGCTGCACAGGTCTCTCACTCTGCAATGGCCGCCACCGCCGCCGTGGCCTCGCTCTCCGAGTTTTTGGCGCTCGCTTGCTCCCTCGCTCGCCCGGCGCGGGTGATTTATGAACGCCGGGAAAATTGAACAAAGCCGCGCGCCCGTCCTGTGGTATCTCTGCAGCCTTCCCCAGCGTGAATCAGAACATTACCAACTGTCTGCGCATCCGTCCCACTTCATCACCAAAGCCAGGATGTGACCGCAGAAAACCCAAGCCCGAACTCACGATTCCCCGGACGCGGCGCGCTCCCCGGACTCGCAGAAACACTGCGGAAAAAGCCCCAAGACCTGGCGAGGGCCCGCCAGCTCCGTCCTCCCTGCCGAAGGGCTGTCTCCTGCCTTCCTGAAGGAGTTAAAAGCTTTTGGAGATAAATCTGAGGGTGTGTGTTTTTAAAAATCAAATGGTAAGTTGGAGTCTCACTTCTGAGAGATTCATTCCTAGTGAGGCCCTGACGACTCCGATCCATTCCTGACGATCTGCATTAATTATTTAATGAGTCACGTGACCTCAAAGATTACAATTTCAATATCTCCCTCGAACAGACGCTACACCTTTATCAGCTGCAACCAGGGTCCTTTGGCTCTGCAGGCCTCCGGGGCACATTCATCCTTGCCCTGGTCCGAGGCAAGCCACCACCATCGAAATAGCAGGGCAAGCCTGACAGAATTAGTCATCCTGGGATTATGACCGTTGTGGATAGTGGGGAGTCCTCTGCTCTCCTAGGCGCCCTGACATCTGTCTCCTCCTGAGCCCAGTGGCCAGTCCACCTGTCTGAGCTTCATGACTAGGGTGGCTTGGTTACAAAATCTCCCCAACAGCTTTGATGGCCCACGAGGCAAGAACCCATCCTTCTTCTCTGGATGTACACACCTGTGACCACCCAGGTCAAGTGTAAGCTTAGATGCATACCTCCATTCCTGGCAGAATACCTTCCTAAGAGGAAAGATGTCTGTGCCCTTACTGCTCTCTAGAGTGAGACTAAAGGTTGCATTCCACCCCATACTCATTAACATAAGGAATGGTGGAGGGAGGATCATTCAGCTGCCTCAGTTTTCTCATCTGTGCAAAATGGCCTCCAGGTCTCCTTCACTTTGGACAGTCTTTCAATCTGGGAATCTCTTTCAATTCCAGGAATCAATCCCAGAGAAAGTGGGGCTGGCTTGAAAGGGAGGGGGTTTCCCCATGAATTTGGAGTCTTCAGAAGAGGTACCAGTTCTGTAAATTGAAGACTAGAGGGTTTCAAGACAGCCACAGCAGCCTCCCTCATACCACCAAGGGAACAGAACACAAGTCTCTTCCTCCTATTGTTTCCAGCCCATGTGTTTCTTTGAAACACAAAGCAGAATTATTCTTGGGACAGTGTATAATATAGAGAAGGGGCAACAGAGCAGCAGTTGAGAGAGGTGAGCCTATGTTCTTCTACACAAGACTGTGTCTAGGGATGCAGAAACCAAGGGAGTGCCAAGGAAAGCCTACTGCCTGCACAGAACCCACTCATTCAGATGGGAAGCCCCAGGCCTTTTTGCTACATTGATTCTTTGGGTTTTTCTTCTCTTTCATTCTAAAGAGTCATTGATCTGTTTCTATGCGGGAACTGCTAGAGGGAAGGCAACAGTGAGGAGAGAAGCAGAGTTTGGAAGCTTAGGGGAACAGGGGGACAGAGGAAAGATAGGGATATCCACCCTGCCCCACCCCACAGGGAGGAGGCTGAGATGTAGGGGAATGGGACCCCCTGGGACAACTGGGTATGAAGTCGGAGATGCTATGCAAAGGGACTTCCCTCCTCCCCTATCCATCTAGGTAATCTTCCCATGAGCTCCATCCTGGGTATTAAGTACTCTACTATGCCTGTCACAGTTGAATTCCTGCTGTAATAAAACACCGGGTATATCGTAGATTTCAACAGAACTAGGGAAGGAAGCCTGCAAAGTGCCATTTTTCTTCAAGGGGGAGAGTGTTAAGTACTTAATTCAAACTGTGACCATTAAAGTGTCTCCTATCCGATTTAGGTTGATTTCAGATGTTGACAAAACTTTTATCTCCAGAGTTATGCCCAACTTGGCTCTGTGACTAAAGCAGATGAGTGTGTATTGGAGGGAGGGAGAAAGAGAGAAGAGGAGAGCATATGTAAGGCTTATTTTGGTAAAATTATAGAGCTTACACAAAATACTGTCTTTAAAGGTCAAGGGTTTGAGGGGCCAGTAGGGTTTGCTTAAAACAAAACAAAACAAAACAAAAAACAATTAATGAGATAGAAAATTTGTCCTCTCAGTGAACTCTTAAGGTTGCCCCAGCAAAGGGCAGACAATGCATGATTTTGAAGTACAAAGTAGGATTTTCCAATCTCTTATAACAAACGCCCTTAAAGGACAATTTGAAGCAGGCAAAACAACACTAAAGAAATGACAATCATTTGGATCATTTTCTATAATCTTGGTTTTGTAAAACTCACCAATACCTTAATAGTCAATACAGTTGGGACAAAAAAGCCATCTTGTCCTGTAATATCAGAAAAAATGATCTCAATTCTCTATCTTCCCTTTCTGGGTAGACTTATAAGTGCAAGTGAAAGAAAGTCACCCCCTTCATCCTCATACAACTGCCTCCAGCATGAAGCTAATGAATGTTCCCATACCCCTCTTTTCCCACAAAGGAGAAATGTAAGAATTTACCTTAAATGATGATAGTCTGCCATTTGAGATTTTGCAGCTTGACACTCAATTTCCACTGAGAGTCTAGGCATTTTTTTTTTTTAGCAGACAGCCAAGATGCTGTGTCCTTGCCTGAGACCACATTATTTGCAAGAAGATCCCTCTCTCTTCCACAGACTTTTCCCAGAGAATGCCTTTCAGAATTGCTGTTGAATTACAAAGAAGTATTTATTGTTTGAGGTGATTAATGATTCCTGGGAAAATTGCTATTTTCAGCGTGATTTAATTTTGTTTTACAAGTGTGTCTAGTAGGGGGAGGGTTAATAAGTTTCAGCAGCAGTTACATTGCCTCCAGAAATTCCTGGCACCCATTCACACCTTATAAAATGCACTTTATGCCAGGTTTCTCCTGATTTGGGAAGGTAAGTGTGTATTTGTTTGCTCCCGAATTTTCTTGGCTCCTCAGAGACTGGTATCTATCACTTTCCTCTCAAATCTGATTTGTGGGTATAGAACTGATCACCCTTGTTTGTATCACACACAGGGCAGCAGGGGTGAAAGGGGTAACAGCTCTGACAGTGGCTAAAGGGTTTTGCCACTAATGAAAAAAAAATGTGTTTAAAAATTCTCTGATGTTGCAGAGGCAGGTGAGCACCTACTCCCATCTATGCTAAAATTACTACATAACCTCAAAGCTGCACGTTATCAAGGCCAGGTGACAGTTCTAATATTCTGGGGCTAGTGCACACTGGTTTTTGCTGTCTTATTGTAGGGGACTCCCTGCAGTAAGCACCAAATCTAAATCAGTAAACAAATACTAGGGTTATAGAGATTGAGAGGTGGGTTTTGATTTTCAGCCTTTTGGATCTAGATCTCTGGAATCAAGCAGAAAAATCACAAAGCATTTGAGGAAAGTGACCCTAATTCAGAGTTTTGCTATTTTCCAGCAGTAAACTCTCCCAGGTCTACTTTGCATGGGGTGAACTTTGGAGGTATATTATGCTTTTTCTTTCCTCAGGAGAAACTTTGGAGAGTGTCCTTGTAAAATTCAGTTTATTTGAAAGCTCCTTCTTCAAAAAAGAGAAACAACCAAGCAAACAAACAAAAATTCCTAGTCTGTAGTTAGTGAAGAGGACCTTAAGAACAGCCAAGAAACAAAAAGTAATCTCAACCCTTTGCACGAACTATTTTTTATCTCCAGGGAAACAGGCAGATTAAGTGTGAAGGTGCAATAAATACCAAAGAGACCACTTCTTTCCAAGTGTGCTCAGAGTTCAGTGTGTAGAACAGCTGCAGAAACTCCTGGGCCCACAGCACTGCACGGTTTCAACTTTCATTGCAGGGAAGGACACGTTTCTATGCCTTACAGAGACTTGAAGCCTGAAAGACTGGCCAAGTTTGGGAAGAAGAGGAGCCCTCTCAGAGCTCAAGAGCCTTCCTGCTCTTTGGAACTTTTCCACAGTAGGCCAAGCTTGACAAGAGTTCAGCTCAAGTTGAGCATACATACACACACTCTCACACACAAATTATGTGAGCCGTCAGAATCCAAGTGAATACAGCTCAAGCTATCTACAAGGTTTTTACATGAAAGGTCAAGTATCTCAATCCAGAGGACTTTTGTTTTCTTAATGAAAAGCTTAGAAAACACATGAATCTTAGGTTTTTAATGTTTTTTAAATGGAGTTTATTCTTAGCACATGGCTTTCTATATAGCCACATCACAATTTGTACAGTTCCACATAAGTCTAAATGCACTCCCCTCTCCCCAAAGACTGTGTCCCAGAAGGGGACAACAGTATCTCTGTAACAGTATCTTAAATAAATGCAAGTAAGGAAAACTAACATGTCACACCTACCATCAAGGTCTACACATCTTAAGAATTAAATAATCTTGTGAGGTCCACAGTGTCTACTCATTTATTCAGTTCAATACAAGCTTGGATAAGCTGCCTTAATGGGGAAGGAGGAGGTAAGGAAGGTGGGGAAAGAGTCTGTTTTCTTCTGCTTTCAACAAAGATGCAAGTATACGTCCCCAGTCAGCATGGGCTGTCCAGCTAGCTGACTGTAGCCATCTCAAAAGTATTTGATACCAAGCAGTCCTTCTCAGGTATCCACACCTGGCAGCCTTGTTTCAGGCCAGCAGGTTGTTCCACCAACCAGCATCCTGGACAACTGTCCTCTCTTGGGTGGCAACCAGTACACACTCTTACCCGGATAATGTCTTCTTTTTGGTTATCCTTTTCACCAATTTGGGTTTGTTTTGGTGTCTATTACGGTCCGGATGGGGAGGGGTGGATGAGGAAAGGAGCAAGAGAAGAGAAGAGAAAAGCAAGTAAGGGATAGAAACTGGTCAAGGTCTCTAGAAGATTATATGGAGGAGGGAACCTGTGTGGAGGTGCTCGGGTGGGGGTGGGGATGGAGGTGCGGGCTCTCAGTTTGTGCTTTCCCTGGTGGGCCGGCAGAGGCCGAGGCCGAACTGGAGGATCGCATCTTGGTGTTGGGCAGTTTGTGGTCTTTCTTCCACTTCATCCTCCGGTTCTGAAACCAGATCTTGACCTGGCGCTCGGACAAGCAGAGCGTGTGGGCGATCTCGATGCGGCGCCGCCGGGTCAGGTAGCGATTGAAGTGGAACTCCTTCTCCAGCTCCAAAACCTGCTGCCGGGTGTAGGCGGTTCGAGAGCGCTTAGGCTCCCCTCCGTTATAACTGGGGTTGACTGAAAACCCAGAACCCCGAAAGAGAAGGCCAAGGAGGAGGGAGCGGAAGAGAGAGAAAGGAGGAGGAGAGAGAAGGTGGGGTGGGGAAGAGCAATTGGACATCATCATTATATAATAACCTGACACCAAGTTCACGCAAGATACATAAAACGGCAAAGAAAATGTTTCACAGGCTATTGACAACGGGAAACACCCGAGAGCCATAAAGAATGGTGCTGGGCATTGGGGCTGAAGAAAAGCTTCAAAGACACATGGCCCGAAGCCTCTGCCAGGGCAATTAAATTTATGGGGGCTATAATTACTGCCCTAACAGTTTGGCGTCTCGTAAATCTCCTGATAAAGGGACCCTGGGTACAAAAGGGTTCTCACGTTGGGATCAGGCGGCTAGCTGGCGCACACATACCCACATCTCACCGCAGCCCGGGCCAGATGGGGGCTCCCCTCCCGAGGACCCCTTCCCCTGAGCTTCTCCCTCCTGACCCCGACCCTCGAACCCAGGCCCAGCCCCGGCCCACCTCCCGCGCCTCCCCAGCGGCGCCACGTACCGGCGCTGACATGGATCTTCTTCATCCAGGGGTACACTATGGGCTCCTTGCCCTTCAGGCCCAGCGGGCTCTTGTCGGCCAAGAGCAGCGGGCACGCGGGGGCGCTGCCCCCTGCC